CAAGGTTTGAGAAAAATAAATATTATGATATTTTTGATCTCTTGCTAAATAACCAAGAGTCTATGAAATATACATCATTTTTATAGGTATAAATTCAAAGTTTTAGAATGAAATAACCTCTAATGAACCTTAAGATTTAAAGAACATGAGGACTAGTAGTATAGAAACTCATCTTAATTTGAAAACTACTAATGATTGACGATAATGTTATGAAAATATTTAACAAAATAACTTACCTAAAATAAGTAAGAGCATATTTTTTTCTTATTTATATAAAAGTAAAATAAATAAATACCCCTTATAAGAATTTGTAAATAGGTACAAAATCAATTCTTTGGAAAGGTGCGGACAAAAAATTTCGTTATCTTTTTCTCCTCCTGTCAATCACATTATCGTTTTCTTGAAGTTTCTCCTTCCTAAACGTGTCAGACAAAATCAATCTTTGCACAGACCATGGCTGCCACACTTAGCCTTCTCAAACTTCCAATCTTGCCCTCAAAACCCAAATTCAAGATTTCAATTCCCAGCTGCAAACATTCTCCAGTTACTCTTCTACCACAACAATGTCATCAAGATTCTTACAACCCACAAAAGTTGCTCCTTCATGACACCATTGAACAGCTCAAATCAGCTTCTCTTCCTCTTACTGCACTCACATTTCCTTTCTTTCTTGATGCCCAGGCATGTTTTTTCGTTTTTTATTGAGAAAGTTTTGATCTTTTTGTAATTTTACTCGTCATATTGATGATTTTGAATCTTGGGGTTTTGTGAAATTTGATGGAATTACAGGATGCATTTGCAGCAGGTGGAGAATTTGGGATTTTTGAAGGGAGGAGTTTTGCTCTGATTCATCCCATTGTTATGAGTGGTTTGTTTGTTTACACTTTATATGCTGGTTATCTTGGATGGCAATGGAGGAGAGTTAGGACTATACAAAATGAGATTAATGAGCTCAAGAAGGAAGTTAAACCTGTCACTGTGACTCCTGAGGGCACCCCTATTGAAAACCCCAAGCCATCCCCTGTTGAAGCTAAAATTCAGCAACTCACTGAGGTCCATTCTTTTTTTGTATCAGTTTAATTTTGTTCTTTATACCCTTTAAGAATGTATGTAGAGGATCTAGAGGGGTCCTAGGTTGTTCACCCAAGCCCCCTTGGCAAAAAATTATACTGTGGCAAGTTTTTACATTTTTATGTATATATACAGAATTTGAATACCCTAATTACAAGACTAGAGGTTGACTTAGTGGTTTAAGGAGTTCACTTTTCATTTTGAGATTCCAAGTTCAAATACTAGGCACTAGGTTTTCCGAACTCTCTTAGTGAAAATCCTAGATCCGGCACTTCACTGCAGTGGGGGAACTATGTGTGTTTTTGAGGAAGAAAACATTATTGATCCTTCGTAGCCAAGCTATTGCAAAGTTTACAACACATTTTGTGGATCTATGTCATCTAATATGACTAACTGGTAGTAATTCTTTGGTAGTTCTGGCTTTTTGCGATCTTAATGATCTATTTTGAATAAACTTTCCATTGCAATTATTGTATGTCACAGCAAATGAAGAGATATTTTACAACGTGTTGATGGACTTTATAGTTTTAATCTTGTATTCCCTTTTGGTTGAGCTCCTAATGAAATGACTTGCAGATGTACTACTAAAACTGGTGGTCATGCTTTATCCACTTTCCGAGTTCTGAATGTTTTATGTCGCCTCTTTTGAACTTTCAGGAGCGGAAGGAGTTAATCAAAGGTTCATTCAGGGATAGACACTTCAATGCAGGTTCAATATTGCTTGGTTTTGGGGTGACTGAGGCAATTTTCGGAGGTTTGAATACCTGGCTTAGAACAGGAAAGTTATTTCCAGGGCCTCATTTGTTTGCAGGGGCAGGTAATGTTCACATCTCCTATCAATACATGTATCTACATTAATATAAATGTGTCATATGTTTCATCCTCTTTTGTGTTTCTTCCCCTTATTTGTGAGTACTAAATGATTGTATCATCTTTAATTTATGTGACAAGAAAGGTAGTAAAGACTTTCAAAATAGGACATTGTATAAATATCTTTGTTGTACTTAAACTCAATGTGTTATATTTTTCTCTCAACTTGTAGTTCTAAGTTACTCCAAACTAGTAACAACTAGGGGAAACAGTTCTATAAATAAGAATCTTAGCTTCTGCGTGTATGTGGAATCCTATACTTGTATTCAGCTATAGTATAACAATTTTTTTTTATTGTCACCCCTATGATTTTCGACTTAAATGCTACCTCACAGATTAGAAGTTGGTTGAGACTTGAGAGCTTGCTTACGGTTTTGAGGACTATCCATAACTGCCTTACTAGTCCCATGCCTCTTGCATGCATTTTCCTCCTATGGTTGATAAACTTTGTCCATATTACTTCCATTCACAGCAAATATAGTTTTAGGCCATAGTTTGCCTTCATTAATCTAAACATAGTACTATTTTGAGATTTTAAGCAACTTTATTCATATTAATCATTACTCCATCTAGTATCATTTTAAGAACTGTAAATATTTTTGGTAATACCTTAAATAAAATCATGTATGGTTATACTTTAGTAGAATCATGTGGTCCGCAGAAATTTTTTTTGCCTTTTTTTCCTTCTATATTTAATAGTTATGAGCAGCAGTCCTTGACTGTAAATAGGAAAAGATGTAGAGGTGCATGCCACACTCATGAGCGACTGAAAAGTTGACGAAGTAGCGAGTCAAATGAGAGGCTAGAGTCAAAGATACACGGAATAAAACACAAAGAAGGGAAAAAAGAAAAAAACAATACAAAAGCAACACGGAAGCAGAACTATTTGTTCTTGAAACGTTATTTGCCTTTTAATTGAGACGGAACAAATATGCCTTGATCATACTTTCATTCCACTTCTAGTTCCTATGTTAATAGGTGTGGGACTAATTCTTTTTCCAATGGCAACAAAAAAATTTCGCTGTATGTGGGATTTTCAGAGTGTTCTATTGTTGATCATAGTCATACATTTTTCTTGGAGAAGTATTGAATAAAGCAGCAATATGGTCAAGACAGTGTTAGCAACAATCTCTTAATAGGAGAACTTTGTAATTGCTGCCTAAACGTGTTTTTTAATTAGAAGTGGGAGCAATAGATCTACAATCAGTGGAAATTGGGAGTTTTACTCCTGCCAAATTAAAATATTATTATAGAAGACTTTAAGCTCCGAATAGTTCCTGTTTACAGAGTTCCTTGTATTTACAGATGACTATTTTAAATATATAATATTCTCCATATGTTATCAGTGAGTTTGATGAAGTAACTCATTGTTTTTTGAGGTGATCGGGTCCTGCATTTCTGAGTACAAGGCTTTAAAGCATGTACACCTTTTTATAGTTCTTACAAGCTCCAAGGGTATAAAATGCTGTAGAACATAATGTTGGTGTGAACTTGCAACCTTATCTACATGACTTGATTTATTTTAACTTTCATGGAACAGGGATTACAGTTCTATGGGCAGCAGCAGCAGCTCTTGTACCAGCAATGCAAAAGGGGAACGAAACAGCTAGGAGTCTGCACATAGCTTTGAATGCATTAAACGTTATCCTATTTGTTTGGCAAATCCCAACTGGAATTGACATTGTCTTCAAAGTATTCGAATTTACCAACTGGCCTTGAATTGGCTCGAAGTTTGAAGGTCGAGTTGTCTGCATTCTTGTGTGTAAACATTCACAATAGAAGAGATCCTACTTAGTGTGGCAAAGTTGTTGTACACCAGATGTAATGACCCTTTCAAGGAATTGTCTAGAAACAAAGAAAAAAAGAAAAAGGATGGATGTCAAAACTAGTTGTGTAAGTATTGTTATATCAATCAAAAGCTACTATGCCTCAATTCACAATCAGTTGGGGTTTACTATATTAAATCTTTTGTATCCATTCAGTTCTGTTCTGGTATTAGAGTTCTTTGTAACAATCCTTTGAATTCATATTCCTTAATTTGTTTAAGCTAAAATACTTCATGGGATCAAAGTGCCAGGAAGATAATAATACACAAAATGTAAGAATGGATGGTTGAAAAGAACTTACTATTCTACAACTTAAATGGACGTACTAGGAAATCAATCAAGATACACAAAAAGTAGTAAAGGACTAATGAAAAGAAGCTGATTTATCTTAGAACCCTGTTGAAGCCTCTTGAGAGGGGGAGACAGCATCATATTTCAAGCAAGCAAAGTCAAGACAAAGACAGTTGAAGTGAATTACACCCCATATCAAAATACCCCTTTTTGTTAACCTGTTATTCGTTATTGTTCGTTGATTTTCCTCTTTTTGCTTTTGATGTCTGTGTTCTTGTAACAAAAATGAATCTTGAGGCAAGGATAAACAAAGGGAAGATGACTCTCCAATTAAAAGGACCATATATATGCTGTCTATGTATCATAGATAGTTTGATCAGAGTCTGCATGATCAACAGTACTGTACAATTGTAGAAGCCGCAATTCAAACATTTTACTTCATATACACACAATATCTAAGACAGATTCTGCAGGGAATATGAGCATTTCACTCTCATCCCCTGTCTGTTTCGAAAACGGCTTGTTCTAGACTCAGAACTGTTGAAAATTCTGTTACCCCACCAGCAGGGTTGTTTCTGCTGTAAGTTGTTATTAGTTGTCACCGAGTCTTTGAGAAGCCAATCAAAGTGAAAACTTCATTCCACTAACAAAAAAGTATGTGATGTATTCTTGAGGAATGCAGACAACAAAGATTTTATACCAAACCCTGTAAATGAACCAGATGCTTTTCTTACTTCTTTTTCATCTTTTTATTTGTTAGTTTAGGTAACTTTTTGTCCCCGTTTCCCACGGTGAATTCATGAAGAATCCTTAGTCATAGACATGTATAAATTTATGTGTGCATCAAAGAATTGAATAACCAACTCATTGAAGTTACCTAAATTCGAGTTCAATTTAATTAGTCCAGTGGGGGTTCTCTATTGTGTGGTGTGTTCCTGAAGAATGTCCAACCAACAAAGACCATTTTCATGGTTCCGTTTGGCTCCTTTTGGTCGCCAAATGCAACCAACTCCAGCTCCCACTCCACCACCAACCCCTCGGCCAACAGCATTTCGATCTCCTGCTCCACGACCATATAGGCCTCCTGCCCCTCAGCCTCGACCACCTGCTGTCACATCTCCTCCTCCACCTGCTACTCCAATTCGAGCATTGTTCCCTGGCATTACTGCACCAAAATCTCCAACACCATCTACTGCCCCTGTCTCTCCAGCCAAATCAATACTTTCTTCATCACCTACATCTCCTGCATTTCTCCCAATTGCTTCCTCTTCCTTCAGCTTAAAAAGCCCTGAAACCAAGACCCCAAAACCAACAGCTAAAACTGCAGCACCTCCACCCCCTTCCCCTGCCACCACCACTCCTACTACTTCAAGAATTGTCAAGCCTTGGAACGAATCTCCACCAAAATTACACCCCGAAACAAAGCCTCTGTTTCGTCTACCTGGGAAAGAAACCGCTGGAAATTCTAAGATGAATGAGAAATCTGCTATGGATAGTAGTACAAAATTTGAAAAATTACCAAGGAGGTTGGTAACACTAATTGGCGAAAACAAAGGGGCAATAATGCTATTGAAACCAAATTCCACCAAGAAATCTTATACTACTACTAATAATGTGTTTGGAGGTAAGTCCCAAACTGTTGGCAAGAAAGAAGAAGGCAATACTGTTGAAGGAGATCAAAAGAAGAAGAAAGAAGATCAAAGTGACATTAATTCAATGGAGATGGAAGAATCTACTATGTTCATTAACAGTAATGTACAAGGAGTGAACAACTCGATTTTAGACGAATCGAGTTTCACTGACCATGATCCTGGTTTCCATATCTTCTTCTCAACGGATTAAAATCCTCTGCTTTGCTAATTATAGATACAATGGTGAAACGCAAGCATATGAAGTTGAGGTAACAATAATATTCTATATACTATATGATGTTTGAGAAGTTGATAATAAACAAATTAAAATGAGGAGGGCGTGGATTCTGGATTCTCCATGTTTGAGTTGTAGTCCACCTTTTGATGTAATATGTTATCGGCATTAATTTATGAATTTCCTTTCAAGTTGTCCTGTTTTGCAAATATTTGTGTTACAAACTATTATTATTTCTGTAATGTGAATCGGGATAACATAAATAAATAAAAAATATAATGACGGAAACCAAGCTAAATCATCAGTTGATCGGCCTTGATGACATAACTAGCTAGTTACGATTTTAATTTTAGCTAAGATATTCGTGTTACATTTAAGATATGATAGCAAACGCATGCATGTCATGCATCTTTGGAGGCGGATAAATTTTTACCTCTTCCAGTGAAATAAAACATGTCGGAATTCTTCAAAACGTTCCATATGGAATTGATCTACAGAGTTGGGCATTGGAAGGACATCTGCAACATTGCTTCATTTTAGTACAGCAATTTACGAAAGATTATAAACTGAATTTGACTATTTATTTTCAATATGTTATTTACTACCTTCTTTTTATTTGGAATATTGGCTTTCAAGTAAACTAATTGTGTACATGGCCTGATTGCACATTTAAGAAAAATTATAACGTAATTAAGTATAGGGTGACACTTATGCTCCTTGTGCAATTAAGTGACAGTAACGTAACGGTGCCTGGACTATTTTAACTTTTTATGTGACAGTGATTCAATTGAGAAAGACGTGAGATATAAAATCCTTTAAAAATCTACCAAAGTCTTAAAAAGAATAAAGATATTTTTGCCTCTAAGTCGCTATTTGATTATTATGAGCATAAAGATATTTTTGATTATTCACTCATCCTCAATTTGGGATCAATTGCTTTAGGGCCCCACCAACAACCCGCCAATATTATTCTAGTAGTTTCTTGGCCTTTGATTTTGATTACTACATATACTGCGACTAGTTAGCATATTACTTTGTTATAGTTTTTGTTTTGTTGCTATCGGTTATTTTTATTATTACCGACTGTTTTTTGTACTTGGGTTATTTTGTTTTGGGACCTCTTTGGACTATTTTTCCTTAAGCCGACTATCTATAGGAAGCAATTTTTCTACTCTAGATATATACACTCTGCTCTCTCCGAAACTCACTTTGTGGGACTACACTGTGTATGTTGTAATGCACAACAGTCAAGTATTAGTATTGCGACTTTAGATAGTCTTTTTAGGACTACTAATACTTGACTGTTGTGCATTACAACATACACAGTGTAGTCCCACTACAACAAGCACAACAGTCAAGATGATGGATTCTCAATTCAGTTTGTGAAAGAGTCATAAACTGATGAAGCACTTGCTATAATAAGAATGACACTTGAACGTGCAATCAAGAAGGATTGGAACAATGCCAAGATTTAATCAAATGAAAAAAAGAAGTGTTATTCATATAATTAAATAAAAAACATAAAATTACTACCTAAAAAAAGTCTAAGCAAACTAGCACTGTATTTAATTATTAACTGATTTTTCTATTACTTCGTTGAAGAACATATCTAGGGTAGCACCTGTACGCAGAAGTACTATAATATCTATCTTTAATTTGTCGAAAAAGAAACGATAAAAAAATAAAAATAAAAATGAGAGGACCAAAATAAGAGAAGACCCACGTCTAGAGGAACAAATGCAAATGTACATGTTGAATGAAAGACCATAATTCTTGTATACAGAGAATCCAAAGCAAAATTCTTACTACTCATCATATATAACAGACTGGCAGATGAGAAGAAGGTGCAATAAGACATGCCACAACCCGTCAAAATTACAGCCTCTCCACAAAGCTTGATCATCTAGCTATCGTACGCTACGATGTCTTTGCTTAATTATCATAATATATCCATTGCACGTTATGTCCCTCTACATTTCATTCTGTTTCTCAACTAATATTATTATCTCCAAAAGTCTCATTTCTTCTAGATTTCAATATTTTTTTCAACAAAAAAAAAAATGAATTTATGACATAATAAATAGTTGAGTGATCATAAGAGAAATCAACTCTACGCTATCATATTGATCGGATATAACTTAAATCTATAACAGTAATTGTTTGATAGAAGTACTGTTTTAAAATTTAATCTTAAATATCTGGATTCATAGTATATATATATGGTTTTTAGTTATCCTAGGTGCATGATCTTTTGTATTATTTAGGTGACTTTTATAGTGTCAATGTGGATATTGGTTCGATTCTAGTGTTTCGGTGTGAAAGTACTTGATAGGTGTAAGACTATGATATCAATATTAAGCCCCTTTTGTAATAATATTATGCAAGAGTGGAGTTTTTCTAAGTTTTTCTAGGAGGTGAACTAATGTTCATCTTCATCTTCCATATCTTTTGTATCGTATGATATTATATTATTAAGGGTCCGCCTAGTATTCCGACATAAAGAAAAAGAAAAAGAAAAAGGTATCAAAGTAAAGATTCCAAAATCGAAGTCTCTTAATTATTGCAATAATGCAAAAGGTAGCAGCTTGGCGATTTGTTAGTTCAAGGAAAATAATTGATGAAAAATTAGAATTTTAGTAATAATAATTGGTAGCTTTATTGTGTTTATGAATTACTATTTCTTTCGAAATATCGAGGTAAAGTGCAACAATTATTTGTATCGTTGCTTTTTTTTATGAAACAAGGACTTGACCAAATGCATGCACTACTAGATGATTGTCATCATGTCATGGCATTCTTGGATTAGTAGTAGCCTCTGCCCATTGCCTAACTCATATAGTGGTCGGGTTTATCATATGAAAATACCTTACAATTGACGTCAAATGACATGACAAGTGAATCAATTTGTGGGATGTTCTCTCTTATTTGCCATTTGCTTCTACTTTTGAAGGTTCAAGTTGATTGATGACATTAATTATGAGCTCTCTTTCGTGCAATGACACATACCAATAAGATGGGTAGATGGCGTATCAGAATTTTAAAAAGATAGGCGCATAATCATGAAGAAGTAGATTAGGATTTATATTTAACGGGTTTTACCTTTAGGTTCTTAATATGAACTTACTATAGTACTTTTGATCATATATGTTCAAGAAAAAATTGTTGCACCTCATGACCTCTTGATTCAAACTCTTGAACCACGTAAATCAACCTAAAGCTAAAAGACGTTGAACAAATTAAAGTCAATTAAAAGGGAAAGGGATCATAATCAATATTAACATTCTCTATGACACGAAATCAAGACTTGATCTCATCCATTTCGCCACAAACGTATATTTATTTGGTACTTGTGGGCTGCATCGAACAAGTCAGAGAGATTATAGAGATGGAACGTGCGTAGTTTTTTTCTACAGAAACATGCAATAATATATGACATGCAATATAATCTTACAAACAAAGGTCCCTCTATTTAGCCTTATACATTTGTCAAGTAGTTCAACCTTGTACCTAATTGGTCCCCCTTAATTCCCCCACCCTTCACAGCGCCACTTTATTATTTATCTGCCCATTAAGAGTCCACTCCAGTACTGCTTAACGTGTCACATATTTCAACTTCAATCAATTTCCCATAGCCAACTTCCCAAACAACAAATGAAGGTATACAATTTAATTTAATCATCTGTACCTCACCGGTGTTTTCTTTTTCTTGTTAATTTCTCCAAAAGTGTATTTATTGTCTTCCAAATTGTTGTGACAAAGCTCTAAACTCTTTTCTTCTTTTTTTGTTTGTAGATCTTCAGTTGGGTTCATCGTAAACTTAATCAGAAAGGTGAAGCTATCCGATCCTCCTTTTCTGGCTAATAATTGATTAGTATTTTAAAAAAAAAAATATGTTTGTTGAAGATTTTACTATATTATGGCAGATGGATTGTTTTGTGGGAATGTGAAAACAGATGAGGTTATAATTAGCAATGATGAGTACTCTATGTTGGGGGGCTGGAAAGAAGGAATTCTTACAATCGGCACATTTGGATTCGATCCAATTAAAGATCAGTTAAGTAGTGTTGTAAATGACGAATATGAAGTATCTGAGATAATTGCAGTTAGTGATCCTGAAGAACATAACGCGTTGATGTCTGCAAATATTAATGGACCTGAGGAGTCACCAATTATGGCAAATGTGATCACGAACAACAATCCTCTTGCTGCTGAGTCAAACAGGGATATTAAGAAGGAAAGGATCACACTAGCAGATTTATTCTCAGCTGATCTTTCTGATGATGATGATGATGATAAGGAGAAAGTTCAGCTTCCAGATTTGTACGATGACCTTACTAATATAAATAAGAAATCTTCCAAATTACCTCAAGTGAAAAATGGTGTTTCTTTTGCTAAGAAGATTATTCCTCGAGTTAAACAGGATTCTCGTCGCATACAAAAAGTGAGCTAACAACTTAATTATGAATCACTTAATTGACATGTTTTCAATTGATTATAAACGTAATGATTTGATTTGATTGTGTGTACTGTACGTACGTAGTTGATGACGAGGGCATTGAAAAGGAAGATTCATCCAGACATAGAAGGAAAAAATATAAAGAACAGTCAGGCGATAGCAGCAGCAGCAGCCAGTACTATGATCGAGCTTTTCCCTATCACCTCCAAATCTATTTCACTTCGCCAAATTCTAGGTGCTCATTACATTATACATGTTCCCTCTATTTCAATTTATTTGTCTGATATTTTTTGACAACATTTTAATTCTGCGTTGATATTTATTTTTCTTTCATTGCATGCATTTGCAGAAATCCCTGCCTAAGCTGCGCTGTTGCTGTGTACTGGATTCTAATTGCTTGGAAATGAGAGGCAATGTTTATCCTTATAATAATGTTTGTGCAAGTTGTAGTAATTGTTAATTTCTCATGTGGTGACCATATATTCGTTATGTCATATGTTGCCAAAAGCTAGACCCTGTG